GTGGCACTGAGCTCCGGTGCTCACTGTGCTTTTGCAAAGTGTAGAGTCAGTGCAGAGTTAGTGTCCTGTGAATTCATTAGCTGACTGCCTTGCCTGCTTGTGTAAGTCCTTAAAAATGTCCAGGCAGGTAGTTTGAGAGGGAGAGATGATTTATCCTGTAACGAAACTAGTTGGGTGACCCTAGCCAGAATAGATAAGGACTACTTCTATATTAACACAGCAGTTGTGGTTCCAGAGATGACTTGCACTGGAAGAAGTTCCCAAACAGGGCTGACTTGAAGGTCAGTGCATGGCAAAAACACTGGGAGAGAAGTATGTGGGACACTGGAGGGGAAGCTTGACTTCCTTTTTGGTGGTATCTAGACACTAGAGAGGCTTAACTGCAATTGTATCCAAATTTTGACACCAGCACATGTTCAGTTTGTAACTTTGTGACAAACAGTTGTATGTGAACTTCCCCTAAGGCTCAATAGAGTCTGTAAGAGGAGTTAATTTCTTAGGTAGGTTAGGTGTTATGCCATTATGATATTTGGCATTTTTGACTTACTGTAGTAGGAACATTGGGATCTCTACAGTGTTCTCAGTAAGACATTTGAGTTAGTCTTGCCACTGTTGGTGGTTTTGTAATTTCTTTAGATATGCCAAGCTCAATCCTGACTTGGGAGAATTGCTAAATCTTTAGTTAATTTATTTCACTTAATTTTTCACTTGGTTTTCTTTTCTTACTCTAAACTGCTACATTTTTGCTGGTCTGATAAATGTGTTTCTTGATAGCCTTGTGCATTTCCTTGTTTCTGCAACAATTACCTTAGTGTTCTCCTTACTGTCTTGCTCTGAATTTTAGGGCTATAGGGCAAAGAACACTTGTTGCTACTTAAAATGTAGAATAGCATTTGGTGCACAGTGCAGCTTTAGCAAGTACACATTTTGCTTTTCTGTTGGAGCTATGCTGTGGTTTCACACATAACAGCAGTATGTTCACTGGAGTGTAAAGAGTAGGGAGATTTGTGTTTTGGCATTGTTTTTGTTGTTGTATTTGGTTTTTTCCTTAGTCTTGTTTTTAAGCATAGTCTTAATTCCCCCCTTGAAAGGCTTCTCCAAGGGAACAGTTGTGTAGAGTCAATGTAGTCTCTCAAGTAAATACAGTACTGGAGGAGAGCAGCTACTCCAGAGTTTAGCAGGACCTTCCAAGCTGAAATAATCCTTTGCAGGTTTTGGTTATAAGTTACAGCTGATGTTTACCTCTGATTTAAGGACAATTATTTATTGTTTCTTATGTGTAACAGAGTTTGAATTCCCACGCCCCATTTGTGATGCTACGTACATTATTATTTTTTAATTATCCTCTACTTAAATTTAGTTCTTGAAGACCTGCTGATTTGGTTTGTAAGCAAACTGACAAGTGGATGAAAAATTGTGAACTATTAAAGCCTGAATCTCCAACCAGGACTGTGCACATCTGCTTGTGCCTGGTACTTTTTTTGGGGAAAACTCTACAGACATAGACATTATCTTGTCTGATTTGCTGGTACATAACTGTGATTCTTGCTGTAGGGCTAAAATAACAAAAGTTTCTAGCCACAAAAAAGAACCAAACAGGTGTCTAACTTAATGCAGCTCTGGAAAGACTCACCTGGTGAACAGGATCTGTGTCTTTGGTTTTGACACTGGGGATAGCAGCAGGGAGGTTGGATCAGATGACCCTACTGTGGGCCCTTCCAACCTCACCCATTCTGTGAATCTATGAAGTGAACCTCTAGGTAGCAAGTGTGATAATTTAGAGCCAGTTGGGACCCCATGGCATTTCTAGAGAGCAGTGTGTGTCAGATACTGTTTCTAACATGTTGTAAAACTTAGGAAGCTTCCGGAAGTCCTGAATCGACTCTTATAGACCTGATATCCTGCCTTGCAGATGCATGCCTGATAATTCCAGGAAACAACTAATTTTAAGTTAAATACATACATATATTTGTCTTTCAGGTCTCCTGTGCATGCTTAAAAATCTGTGTGTAATCAGCTGCAGTGTGCCTATAGGGTAGAAATTTGTTTCTTTTTTTCAAGCTTCCGGAAGTCCTGAATCGACTCTTATAGACCTGATATCCTGCCTTGCAGATGCATGCCTGATAATTCCAGGAAACAACTAATTTTAAGTTAAATACATACATATATTTGTCTTTCAGGTCTCCTGTGCATGCTTAAAAATCTGTGTGTAATCAGCTGCAGTGTGCCTATAGGGTAGAAATTTGTTTCTTTTTTTCCCCTCTCAAA